ACTCAGGGACACAGAATCGTTACTCAGGGACACAGAATCGTTACTAAGGGACACAGAATCGTTACTCAGGGACACAGAATCGTTACTCAGGGACACAGAATCGTTACTCAGGGACACAGAATCGTTATTCAGGGACACAGAATTGTTACTCAGGGACACAGAATCGTTACTCAGGGACACAGAATTGTTACTCAGGTACACAGAATCGTTACTCAGGGACACAGAATCGTTACTCAGGGACACAGAATTGTTACTCAGGGACACAGAATCGTTACTCAGGGACACAGAATCGTTACTCTGGGACAGACACAGAATTGTTACTCAGGGACACAGAATCGTTACTCAGGGACACAGAATCGTTACTCAGGGACACAGAATTGTTACTCAGGGACACAGAATCGTTACTCAGGGACACAGAATTGTTACTCAGGAACACAGAATCGTTACTGAGGGACACAGAATCGTTACTCAGGGACACAGAATCGTTACTCTGGGACAGACACAGAATTGTTACTCTCAGGGACACAGAATCGTTACTCGGGGACACAGAATCGTTACTCAGGGACACAGAATTGTTACTCAGGGACACAGAATCGTTACTCAGGGACACAGAATTGTTACTCAGGAACACAGAATCGTTACTGAGGGACACAGAATCGTTACTCAGGGACACAGAATCGTTACTCAGGGACACAGAATTGTTACTCAGGGACACAGAATCGTTACTCAGGGACACAGAATCGTTACTCAGGGACACAGAATTGTTACTCAGGGACACAGAATTGTTACTCAGGGACACAGAATCGTTACTCAGGGACAGACACAGAATTGTTACTCAGGGACACAGAATCGTTACTCAGGGACACAGAATTGTTACTCAGGGACACAGAATCGTTACTCAGGGACACAGAATCGTTACTCAGGGACACAGAATTGTTACTCAGGGACACAGAATCGTTACTCAGGGACAGACACAGAATTGTTACTCAGGGACACAGAATCGTTACTCAGGGACACAGACACAGAATCGTTACTCAGGGACACTCAGAAGAATCGTTACTCAGGGACACAGAATTGTTACTCAGGGACACAGAATTGTTACTCAGGGACACAGAATCGTTACTCAGGGACACAGAATTGTTACTCAGGGACACAGAATTGTTACTGAGGGACACAGAATCGTTACTCAGGGACACAGAATCGTACTCAGGGACACATAATTGTTACTCAGGGACACAGAATTGTTACTCAGGGACACAGAATTGTTACTGAGGGACACAGAATCGTTACTCAGGGACACAGAATTGTTACTCAGGGACACAGACAGAATCGTTACTCAGGGACACAGAATCGTTACTCAGGGACACAGAATCGTTACTCAGGGACACAGAATCGTTACTCAGGGACACAGAATCGTTACTCAGGGACACAGAATTGTTACTCAGGGACACAGAATCGTTACTTTCTGCTTCACAACCACTATTGTACGTTCAAAGAGTTAAATCCTGTTTTATGTTTGGGGTGCTTATTGAATTAAAGAGTATGTCAGACAACATGCGCAGAGGAGTGGCAGAGGAGGCAATGTTTCAGGAGTGAGCAGACGTGGCAGCAGAGGAAGGGGTCGAGGCAGCACTAGTCGCAGCCAGAGGCCAGTGCTCCCGGTGTCATCCAGCGGTCGTGTCTCCACCGACAACCCTGCTTCATCGATTGGTTGACTCGGTCGTACTTCCTCTTCCCAGGTCACCTCTGACACCTACAGCCAACGGTCGGTGGGTACGTCAGACACAACCGTTAGTTGGCATGGCCCGGGAGCAAGCCCACTGAAATCACGTGTCCTCGACCTGCCCCTGTCCTTTGGTGTTCCCTCACCAAGCGAAGTATCGCATGCTGTGGGCTCAGCCCCACTGTACAGTGAGGAAGAGCTAACAGAGGGCGGTCAGGAACGGGGGGAGACATCCGCCTCTTCAGCAGCCAGGCGAAGAAGTACTGGCGAGGAGAGTGGCTCGGTAGCCGGTCTAGAGACAGGTCTGTCTCCTGACCCACACGCAGCCGAGGGGGCTAGTAGTGACGCGGAGACCCTAATTGATGATGATGAGGCTGATCGCACTTGGCAGCCTCGTCGTCATCAGGCTATTGCTTCCGCATCATCAGGAGAAGAGGGTGCCAGCTTGCCAGCGAGCAAAACAGTCGGTGGGTTGCCCAGGAGGCAGCAGGGTCGCAGCAGTGTCAGTGGAGCCAAACGGCCACGGAGTAGAGCACCAGCTCCACTGCAGCCTACCACTACGGCCAGTAGTGGTGCCGGTGTGCACGGAGGAAGTAGCAGTCAGCCAGTGAGGAGTAGCGGGGGCAAAGTTTCCTACTCGGCAGTGTGGCAATTTTTCGTCAAGCCGCCCGAGGAAGTAAACGTAGCCGTATGTCGACTATGTGGCCAGAAAGTCAAGCGTGGCCAGGGGGCCCATGTTGGGACTACAGCGTTGCGTCAGCATATGCAGCGTCGCCATTCGGTGGCCTGGGAAAACCGTGATAAAGATACAGCGGTTCTGCCTGCCCAGCCCCCGCTCCATCACCCGCTCCGTTACTTGCTCCGTCACCCGACGTCAATCGCCCTCTATCAGCCAGTCAAGGCTCCAACACCTCTGCTGAGGGGAGTTGTCGCTCGTTGGCATCTTCCGCTCGTTCAGATGCTCCTTCTCCTGCTACTCTCTCTTCACGGATTCCGTCAGCAGTCTTTCTTGGAATCCGTTTCCAAGAGACAATAGTTTGCGAGCACGCACCCGACGGTGCAGAAGCTGAACGTCCTCCTGTCCAAGTTGCTGGTGCTGCAGTCCCTCCCTTTCCAAATGGTGGACTCAGCACCTTTCCGAGAAATGATGGCTTGTGCCGAGCCGCGGTGGAGGTGCCAAGCCGGCATTTCTTCGCCAAAAAGGCAGTGCCAGCCCTGCATTCACATGTAGAAGAGATGGTGGGCCAGTCTTTGAGCATGTCGGTCTCTGCCAAAGTGCACGGCAGCGCCGACGTGTGGAGCTGTAACTACGGTCAGGGACAGTACATGTCATTTACGGCCCACTGGGTGAACGTGGTGCCGGCACAGCCGCACCAGCAACTTGGACAGGTCACGCCGCTTTTGCCTCCACGTTTGCACGTCCTTGGTCCAGCAAAGATGTCCGCCTCTACCACCTCTTCTTCCGCCGTGTCCTCAGCCGCCACCCCCGTGCCAAGTCCCATTACCCGACCGGCATATCACATGTGCAGGGCGCAACGGTGTCACGCTGTGCTGCACCTGGTATGCCTTGGCGAACGTAGTCACACAGGGGAGGAACTTCTGAGTGTAATGAACAGAGAAATCGACAGATGGCTGTCTCCGCGCAAACTGAAAATCGGAACCATGTTGACCGACAACGGAAAGAACATGGTGTCTGCTCTGCGTCAAGGAAGGTTGTGCCATGCGCCATGCATGGCTCACGTGTTCAATCTGGTTGTCAAGCGGTTCCTAAAATCCACCATCCCACTGCAAGACATCCTTAAAATGTCACGTAAACTTTGCATGCATTTCAGCCATTCCTACACCGCAAAGCACACCCTCCTTGAGCTGCAGCGGCAGAACGGAATTCCACAGCATCGCCTGATCTGCGACGTTTGCAACAAGGTGGAATTCAACCCTACATATGTTAGACCGCCTTTACGAACAGCGAAAGGCCATCACCGATTTCCTGATGTTACAAGCGGATAAAGGTACTCCCCTGTGTAACTTAGATGTCAGCCATTGGCAGCTCATGCGTGACACCTGCCGCTTGCTCAGGCCCTTTGAGGAGGCCACGCTATTCGTGAGTCGGCAGGACTATGGGATGAACGACGTCATTCCTCTGTTGCACGTCCTGGAACAAATGCTGTTAACAATGGCTGGTCAGGGTGCGGTAGACGTGGCGCACAGATCTCAACGCCACATGACCCCTGTGGGGGCAGGACAGGAAGAAGAGGAGGAGGTAGAGGAGGACATTGGTGCTCAGGAATTATTGAGTGAAATGGGTGGTTTTTCCACTCAGCGGACAGGAGTGGAGGAGCAGGAGCATCTGGTAGAGGAGGAGGAGAGGAGACAGAGGACCCAGACGCACCGTGGCAGTATGCTGTGGAGATGGAGGCAGGGAGTCCCTCGCATTCCTTGGCACAAATGGCCCATAGCATGCTCGCTTGCTTGCGTAGCGACAGCCGAATAATAACCATCAGACAGAGGGATGACTTTTGGCTGTCCACCTTGTTGGACCCTCGCTACCGTTCAAAAATGGTGGCCTTTTTCACACCTGCTGAGAGGGAGGCCAAAATAACGTACTATAAAAACCACCTATGTAGTCAGTTGGTCTCTGCCTTTCTGCGCCAACGTCCATCCTCAGACACTGTGGGCCCTGTGCGCTCGCGTTCCGCTGCCATGGCAGCAGGGGAGGGGGGGTGGGGTGGTAGGAGCAGTGGCAGCTCCACCAGCAGCGGCTGCCTCAGTCTGCAGTCGATGATGAGTAGCTTTCTTCACCAGCGCAGTGCGCAGTGAGGAAACTACTAACCAGCCGCAGCAGCAGCAGCAGCATCAGGTGGACCTGGAGCAGGACCTCAAACAACAGGCTTAGGCCTACTTGGACAGCACCCTGCCAACCGAGGTAGACAATCCCCTTGACTACTGGGCAACGAAACTTGACCTTTGGCCCCAACTAGCTGAATTTGCCCTTGAAAGGCTGTCATGCCCGGCCAGTAGCGTGGCATCGGAGCGCGTGTTTAGTGCGGCAGGAGGTATTGTAACTCCGCGGAGGACACGACTGTCCACCCAAAGTGTGGAGAGACTCACTCACGTTTGTGAAAATGAATCAGGCGTGGATTAGTCTGGATTTCAAACCACCAGTTCCTGACACAACTGACTAAATCCGCCATGAATCATGCCCCAAACATGTTATTATTTTTAACATAGGTCTCTGTATGGCCTTCAATTTAAGCTGCTTACGCTTCGCCATTCTGCCATGGGCCCCTGTACCGCCTCCTCTTGCTGCTGCCAGGTCCAGAGTGTGTCATGGGTCCCTGTACGGCCTCCCCATTGCTGCTGTCTCCATCGCCACACTCTGCCATGTGCCACTTTCAGGTCTCCTCACACTGCTGGTGGGTTCCATTTTGTCATAGGGTGCTGTATGGCCTCCCATTGCTGCTGCCTCCACCGCCACCCTGCGCCATGTGCCTGTCGTCTGCTCACGCTGCTGACGGCTTCTGCTTTTTAACCGAGGCCTGTGTTTGGCTTCCGAATACTGCTGCATCCACCGCCACCCTGCGCCATGTGCCTCTGTCGTCTGCTCACGCTGCTGACGGCTTCCGCTTTTTAACCTAGTCCTGTGTATGTCTCCCAATACTGCTGCCTCCACCGCCACCCTGCGCCATGTGCCACTTTCAGGTCTCCTTACACTGTTGGTGGGTTCCATTTTGTGATAGGGTGCTGGGTCCCTGTATGGCCTTCCATTGCTGCTGCCTCCACCGCCACCCTGCGCCATGTGCCTCTGTCGTCTGCTCACGCTCCTGACGGCTTCCGCTTTTTAACCGAGGCCGTGTGTTGGCTTCCGAATACTGCTGCATCCACCGCCACCCTGCGCCATGTGTCTCTGTCGTCTGCTCACGCTGCTGACAGCTTTCCGCTTTTTAACCTAGGCCTGTGTATGGCTTCCGAATACTGCTGCCTCCACCGCCACCCTGCGCCATGTGTCTCTGTCGTCTGCTCACGCTGCTGACGGCTTCCGCTTTTTAAACTAGTCCTGTGTATGTCTTCCGAATACTGCTGCCTCCACCGCCACCCTGCGCCATGTGCCACTTTCAGGTCTCCTTACACTGTTGGTGGTGGGTTCCATTTTGTGATAGGGTGCTGTATGGCCTTCCATTGCTGCTGCCTCCACCGCCACCCTGCGCCATGTGCCTCTGTCATCTGCTCACGCTGCTGACGGCTTCCGCTTTTTAACCTAGGCCTGTGTATGGCTTCCGAATACTGCTGCCTCCACCGCCACCCTGCACCATGTGCCTCTGTCGTCTGCTCACGCTACTGACGGCTTCCGCTTTTTATCCGAGGCCTGTGTTTGGCTTCCGAATACTGCTGCATCCACTGCCCGCCCACTGCTGCTGCCAGGCCCGTAATCTGTCATGGGCCCCTGTACCGCCTCCTCATGCTGCTGCCAGGTCCAGAGTGTGTCATGGGTCCCACTCTGCCATGTGCCACTTTCAGGTCTCCTCACACTGCTGGTGGGTTCCATTTTGTCATAGGGTGCTGTATGGCCTCCCATTGCTGCTGCCTCCACCGCCACTCTGTGGCTCCACACTCTGGTTTTGGCCCCGTGACTGCCCAAATGAGTGAAGTGTGCGGTGATTCTAAGATCGACGGCACTCATCTGCATGTCATACTGACTGACAGTATTATTTCTCTTCCCCAGCAGACTCCAAGGGCATTTAAATTAAAGGTACAGTGTTCTGCACTAATATAAAGGCTCTCTGAAGCCTAGAAACACCCTTTTTATAAGTTAAATTCGCAGCGAATATATTCGCCTCGAATCGAATTTATTCCGCGAATTCGGCGAATCAGTCGAATCGAATTTTTGAATAATTCGCTCATCTCTAATTTATATGTTTGTTACTTTAGATTTATGCTTTAGTTATCTGGACATGCAAAAGCATAGCAAGGGTCTTCAGACCTTTACTTTACCGCCCCTATGCTAATGCTATAGGACTCTTGGACACGTGACCCCACCCTGCCACCTAGCATGGCCGGGGATGTCACTGCCCAGATGTGGAGTGGCCACTCCGCTTCCAGTGTTTTAAGGTGGCAGAGTTTGAGCCCGACTGGCCCTTTGATGTTAAATTATTCTGTCTTTTCAGGAAAGGCAGATAGCCTACCTGATCCATGGTTTATTGTGTTTTCTTTAGTTGTAGGGGCTCTTAAGGCCCCAGTTCTGTTGCTTTATGTTTCTATTTTTGTGACAATTTTGGTACATGATGTTGTTCATACACCAATTTGTGGACATCCCGGCCGACACATTGGGACTTGGATGCTCCATGAATTGATATTGGCGGATTTTATCTTATCTAATGTCGATTCGGATGTTCCACTGACTAGACAAACTATTTTTTATACTTTTCAGATGAATACCATAATGCTGATTGATACTATTCTTGTTTGCTATGGTTATCCATTGCATCTCACATAATGTCCAGGGTTTTCAGCTCTCCAAATAAGCGTAAAACTGCTTTCCTTCAGTATAAACGCCTAGGGGCAAAAATTATTTTATTACAGGAAAGTCATTTTGCAGCCGCTAAACACCCAACATATTTTTACAGATCTTACAAACAGGGGTTTTATACTTTACATTCTACTAAAAGCAGAGGAGTGGCAATTATTTTACTCATTCCCATTCGATATTCAACATGTTCATCGTGATCCTGAGAGCAGATTTATCATTATTATCATTATTATCATAAGGCACCCTTTCGGGTCGTGAACTCACAATCGCTAATGTTTATGCACCAAATTCAGCGCAAGCATCCTTCTTTTCCCATTTTTTCAAAGTTCTTGATAGGTTTCTATCCCCTCATTTATTGGTGGGAGGTGATTTTAATTTGGTAGCTAACCCCCTTTTAGTCAGAAGCTCCTCCTCACCATCCTCCCAGGCCTTCCCAAAATCCCTTACCAAAAAAGTAGACATACTTCAACTGGTAGACTCCTGGAGGGCACATAATGTATGAGATATTATTCATTTTACTCTCACCCACATGACTCTTATGCTTGATTATATCTATTGCTCCCCCATTCTGCTAGCCAACTCTAGGAAAGTATGCATTCATTTAAGTCCCTGGTCGGATCATAATATTATTGTGCTGTCTATCTCTTTCATAGGTCTAGCACCTACTTCCTACTCCTGGCGACTTAACAACTCTATGCTTACGGATACTAACACCCGCCATGAAGTAGTTGCTTCTATTCAAGAATACTTTCAGTTGAACACAACTCCTGATATCTCCCCGGCTACTTTGTGGGTAGCCCATAAGGCGGTCCTGCGAGGCCACCTTATATCTATGGCTTCATCTAGGAATAGGGAGCAGTGGAAACAAATTCAGAAGCTTACCCGAGAATTAGAAACACATTAGAGGGCTCATTTTGGCAATCCATCTCTCCTTAACAAAACGATGATATCACAAATGCATCTAGAACTGAATATTTTACTATCCCAGAAAACTGAAAAAGCTCTAAGTTGGTCGAAGGCCTCTTTTTTATTACATAGTAACTCAGCATCTACTATATTCCCACAGAAATTAAACCATTCTATACAACCCCCACATATCTATAAGTTATGAACTAAGGTGTCCGTTTATGACACAGAGAATAGCTGTGATTCAGAGGATTGCAGCTATTCTCTGGTCATTCACAGTTTATGACACTCAGGAGATCAGTGGAGAACATGTTCAGCCCTTCACTGGAGATCTGTGTTCTCCCTCCAGATTCTCCAGCCCAGAGCTGGAGAATCGGAGGGACCGCAAACTAAGCAGCGATAATTTACCTCTGCTTAGTAAACTGATCTTTTACTGTAATCTCGCGAGATTATAGTAAAATCAGCCGTTTTCCAGCTTTTGTAGATTGTTCTGCCTTCGTTCGGAGAACTGATTTACACCACTTCATAAACTGCATTCACAGGGGAACTGTGTTCTCCGAGAATGCTGGAGAACTGAGCAGCGATCATTTATCGCTGGTTCATAAATGGACATCTATAAGCGGCAGCATCTCCTCTCTACCTCATGAAGTCCTGGGTATTTTTAAAAAGTTTAATTCTAACCCTATTGGCTCTCCTACAACCGGCTTCCGCTCCACCAAAAGGCTCATGGCTTGATTCTATACCCCTCCCTGCTCTCACCCCCTTCCCAGATATCTTCCATCAATGCCCCACGCACTTTGGAGGAAATAACCCATGCGATTAGCACTTTAAGAACCTCCACAGCACTGGGCCCTGATGGGTTCAAGGCCAGTTATTTAAACATTTTGCTCCTACATTGGCTCCCTTTTTGATGTCATTATTCAATGATGTTTTGTAGGGTGGCAGGTTTCCTGAGGAGATGCTGTGGTCTAACATGTCTCTATTACCTAAACCCCTAAAAGACCATCATCTACCTCAAAACTATAGACCAATCTCAGTAATGAACAATGATCTGAAAATATTCAGCTGCATTCTGGCAGCTAGGCTGGCACCTATTATCTCCTCTTTGGCCGACCAATCGGGATTTCCACCCAGACAGACTTATCACGGACAACATTCGTCTCACATTAACCACTTTTACCCCCTTCCTGTCCAGGCCAATTTTCAGCTTTCAGTGCTATCACACTTTGAAGGACAATTGCGCGGTCATGCAACACTGTACCCATATGAATTTTTTTGCATTTTTTTGAGACAGATAAAGCTTTATTTTGGTGGTATTTATTCACCATTGGAATTTTTTTTTTTTTGTAAATGAAAAAGTCCACAAATTTTGAAAAAAAAAGTGTTTTTTCTTATACAATTTTGCAAATAAATAATATTTCATCATAAATCTTGTCCAAAATTTATTCCGTTATCTGTTCAGTAAAAAAAAAATAACCCAAATTAGTTTATAATGAAAAATTATAATTTTTAAACATTTTTTTTACTTTTTTGTTTTTTTATATTCTTATTTATGTTTTTTTTTTTTTTTTACATACTGTCACCCTAGCAGTACAGTGTCATCATGGTGACACTGTAATACTTGTGGGGGGTGATGAAGATTTTTTTTTTTTTTTTTTAATACACTGATTGCTTTTATACCCATAAAGGCTGTAAAAGCAATCATTTCTCCTTTTTCACAGAAATACTGTTTGAGCTGTGATTGGTCACAGCTTGTCACATGATACAAGGCTGTTGTGAATAGCCCTGCACCATGTGACCTCTGTGATCATTCACAGATTTTCACACATAGTAAGCAATGATGTCACAAGTGACATCTTGCTTACTACTCTGCATGTGATCACTGATTGGCCAATCAGTGGTCACATGATCGGGACCTCTCACAGAGGTCGTGTCTGATGCTCGGTGTTTCACTGTGTCCGGAGGAAACAGCGGACACTGGATCGCAGTGCTGCGCGCTCCCAGGGAACGCGCAGAAGCAGGGTGCGAGGAGGTCGTTTTATAAACAGCCACCCGACCCTGCACTGCCACCGTCCGGCCGTTTATATACAAGTGGTTAAATGTTATTCAGGATGCCAATTTGCATTCTGAAGAGGTTTTGTTACTAAGCCTGGACATTAACAAGGCCTTTGATAGCGTCCTCTGGCCCTATTTGTTTTAACTATTGCAGAAGATGGGCTTTAGTGAGGAATTTCTGTCTGGTGTACATGCTTTGTACGACTCCCCCAAAACAAGAATAAGACTCCCAGGCTGCAATTCTGATTTTTTTTTACACTGGGCAGGGGTCCCCATCAGGGCTGTCCACTTTCGCCTTTATTATTTGAGCTTGTTTTGGAACCCTTGGCAATTGCAATAAGACATTTCTGGATACCCATTATTGGTTTCACAATTCAAAATATGTATGTATGCAGATGATATTATGCTTTTCCTTACTAAACCTTTAGTGTCATTGCCTAATCTATGCACATTATTGAATGACTTTGCAATAGTATCAGGTCTTACTGTAAATTGTACTAAATCAGTAGTTATGCCTGTTAATGTTCCTTATTCCTGAGTGCATCTCTCCTCAATTCTTTTCCATTTCATTGGGCCACAGACAGGATTTCATGCCTGGGAATTATTATACAGTATTTATATAGCGCTAAAAGGTTTGCTCAGCCCCAGATACAGAAATTATTTGCTGCTAATTACCCACCATGTGTGTCACGCCTCCCTACTCTGTTGAAGATCTGGCCTAGATACCCTATCTCATTCTTGGGCAGAGTCACGGCAGTAAAAATGAATGTCTTGCCTAAATTACTTTATTTATTTAGAGCACTCACAATCCCTGTCTCGAAAATGTTTCAAGACCGCTTTCAACGGATGATTAATAATTTTATTTGGCGTAATAAACGCCCTAATTTTTTTCATAGGTCTTGTACTGGGCGCAACGGACGGAAAGCCTCAGTCTCCCCTATTTCTGGCTTTACTACCTAGCAGCCCATTTCGCACAGCTATCACAATGGGCGACTATTAATTCCCAGGTCCCATGGATCAGATTTGAATCTCAGTCTATATGTCCGTTCTATCTACCAGGCATATTATGGTCCTAAATTCCCCCCCGCTCGTTATCTATCTATAATTCCATCGTTGCCCAATCATTGATGCTTTGGTCCCAATATAAACTTAAATTAAATCTTGTCTCCTCTGTCTCACCAGGTTCATCATTTTTTTGGTGACCCGAATTTTACTACAGCATTCTCGTCTCCACAGGCATTCCCTTGGAGATATGATAGATCCTTTATCAGGTTATCTGACTTTCA